TTTGAAACTTTTACTTTAACAGCAACCAGTTTGTAGGTAAGATTTAGAAGTATGAAAATTATTCCTATTTTTTCCAACACTTTCCTCTACTTCAGTATGAACATGTATTTAACAATGACATGTCATAATTATGTATAAACTTTATTAGATGTATAAGCTACACTATCCCAGTCTGCAAATCAACATTATATATGTCAAAGAGCCAGTGTTAGTAAAGACAAATCTACTGGACTAAAAGTTAGCTATGTTGCAGACTGAACAAAAATTACCTTGATGTTATTCCTAATACCTGAGTTGTCCATCTTGGTATCTCATCTATAAAAGAAACTGCGAGCAAATGAACTTAAGGAAAGAAAATATGAAGTGTAAAGATGGTTGGAATACAAATTTCAATATATTACAGTGTTAACAAATTCACCTTTTCTCTCTTAGAATAAAGTAACATCTTACACAAAAAATACTTAGCTGCAAATGAATGGCATTAATCCAATGCTGCCAGGAACATGCAATGTTCACTTTAGTATTGTTTTGTGAAATATATCTATACATAGATAGCACCATAAGTGCAAATACACTGAGGTGTCAATTAGTAGATCTATGAGACTACACTTGATTTCCCCTTTCCAAAAGTTTTCAGAAAATATGTTTTTTCAAATGCCATTAATCCCTACAATCTGGATGATGTGACAATCATGTCATGCAAAAAATTTGGGTTTAGGGATGGATGATGTGAACAAACCACCATGGAAAAATTTGGCTGAGGGTTGGGGTGATGGGAACTTGGTTTTATGAGAATTTTGGCTGAAGTAACATATATGACTCACAACACATGTACAAAACTTGAGACTGAGTGGGTATTTAAGAAGGGGTTCTTGCATTATTCCCATCATTAAACGAGTTAGGAATGTGCCATCCATGAGCAATGACTGGAAGAGTATTGGCTCTAGGAAGGATGCTATTTCTAAGTTCAGGATCCTATTCCTGCTCGCCTTGACTGATGCCGCAGGTAATATTACAGAAAATTGAATATTACAAAATTTAAATGACAAATAATAAAATGTTACTTATTGTTATCATTATTCCACTGAATTATGGACTACATAGGGATATGATATGGAGTCTGGATTTTTGGCCACAAACAGTCAGTGAAGCACATGGATACAAGGGGTTAATATCAATGATATTATTATTATGCTCAACACTATAATGAATCGTGTTATTCACAATTCTAATATGGGGAAAAAAATGAAAATCAAGAAATATGGTAAACAGGGGAGATAATTATGATTAGTAGCTGACTCCTTGGTGACAAAGCACTTGTGAAACATTCTACATGTAAATATATTAATAAACTAAATCATAATGGGCATGCCATGCATGTACATGACATCCCTGGTGGCAGAGGGTTATTAATGGCAATCAAGCAGTATCTTTAACCCAGTTAATATGTCATATATGGAAAATGTGTAGCTGGAATTCAAATGATTACGATAGCCGCCCCTCACCACCACCATCACTCGCCACGTATTGCTGCCTGAGAGTGCTGATGTTTAGCTTTATTGTTTCACCACAGTTATCCTAAGATGAATATTGGACTCATAATTATTTATGGCTTCATTTATGCATTCTTATAACTCTGACCACATTAAATTCTGCATCAGAGGGTAAGTAAAAACAAAAAAAATGTTGGTCCAGTCATCAGGCTAATTAGCACTATGATAAGATGCACTGAAATGTAAATAATAAAAAAAAAACATATTGTACATTGTATTTAGGCCTTCTTTCTGAAAAAAGAACTGCAAACTTAGCATCTTCATCAACATGCATAAAATCAGAGAAAATCTTAGCTAGGAAATGTGGCATTTATGAAGCAAGAAATGTTGCATATCTGACCATCAATGGATTAATCAGGTTTAAATGCTGGTTTTTATATTGCAAACATTTGCATAGAATGATATGTTTGTATATTTGTGGACACATATATTTGCATATTCATTTGTTTGTATAATAAGTTGTTTCATATTTCTGTGTATTAGCATTTATATTCTTGTGCATATTATCTGGAGCAAGTTTTCATGAATGCATGGATCACTTTGCCCATTTGTATTCTAAAATGCCACTAATAGTATGGCTTGTTATTATATCAGATATTTGAATGGGATACAAGTTTATGGTCAGTCTATAAAATAGGATGGATAAACACACACTTACAAACACAAAAACACACATACAATACCCAAACACACACACATACAAAAACACATTCACACACATGCATGCACACACACGCATGCACTCATCCACGGAAACACACACACATACGCTTACACGCACACACAAACATGCATAAGGACATGCATACTTACACAAACACCCCTACACCCATGCACTCATCCCCCCACGTGCTCACAGTCAGACACAAACACACATAACCCTAGACACAAAAGAGTGAATTAACATCAGGTTTTTCATAGTACTCACATGAATCAAGGCTGAAAGGAGAAAACTAGACTGCTAGAGCTGGTAGGATACTTGGATAGTAAAGATGATTTTGTCAGTTTTGAGAAACCACATCATCTGTGCAGGTAGTCATAAGTTTATATTAAAGTTAATATAATAAACACAATAAAGTTGGAGGGGAAAAAATTAATCATGTTGCATTAAAAAAATAACATGTATATAAAGCAGTGACAGTTAGACTGACAATTAGTTCACTAGCAGACTTGGGATTTGCAAAAGTAGTTGCACAACTTCCAAGAATTATAAGTGTTCTAAGAACATAAAGACTGAATTTTCAGTCTTTTGCCAAAAATTATGTATAATACAAATCTACAAATAATGGATATCATATAGCTTCATACTGATACTGTAAGCATAATGTTGTGAAAGTTTTAGGAACTATGTGCAATATAACCCTCAAAGTAAGTTGTCAACCAGAAAATTTTGTGTGTTCGTGTTAGTGTTGTATGCACTGTGGATATGCAAGAATAGACATCACCTTAAATCAAACAAGCAATATTCATTTCTCAGATAAATTGGCTATTTATTTACTTTTCATTGGATTTTTATATAAATGGAAGAATTAACAATAAAGAGCATGAGTATGGGTGAATACAGATAAACTACATACAATAAATAAACAACTGGTTAATGTGGGATGGTAGTGATAGTGTGCTGGTTGCTGACCAAGGGAAATCTATAAGGAAAGCTAAGAGGTATGCATTTGGAAGCACAGCAGCTAAAAAAAAATAAATGTTACCTCTTATTAATACATGTACTAAAGCTGATTTATTGTGTACATAAATTTAAATGCCAAAAGTATACATCTAATTACCACACTAAACCTACTTTCTGATAAGAAGATGAATTTCCTTCATACTCTACAGTACCACTACACATGTACTAAATATTTCCGTCCAAAAGATCTAAAACGAAAGACATATTTCTATCGGGTGAGGAACATGTACATAATGGTAAGACATATTTTGCAACAATCAAAATAAACACTTAACAGTAATATAATGTATACTGCTTTTATTGCCCAATGCATTGCATGATGCGAACCTAAGCCACAGATCACGGCAAAGTTATTCAATGATTTCTCTTTCAGGATCATCAGCATGCTCATATCAACCTGATCTGTACATGGGAACAAAGTTCTGATTTGTAATAACATATTTTGTAAATTGTTTGGTCTGCCAATTAATCATATTGTTCTTTTGCTTAGTTCTCAAAGTTACAAATCTTTCTGCATAACTTTTTACAGCAGAAGTGCAACTTTTTTGGCTTATAACATGGATATGCCTCACCAACTAGAGATAATAACAAGGTCAAATCAGACTTCAACCAAATCTTCATAAATCATAAGTACCAAACTAGCTGGTTCACTGCAGTCATAACTGCCCTAAATCCTGTCATGTTTAACCATCATATCTCTTCCTGATTCTTTGTATATTAGCATTTACAACAATAACATGCTCTGCTTATAAAGTTATAATCAAATTGGTAGTTATACCAAGTCCTCCTGTAAACTGCCTATATGAATATACTGGTTAACCCATTGGTTATCATATACAACAATTAACTAAAATTTCACCAAATTTCAGGTACAGTAAAATACCACTTGACAGAGTTTGTTTTAAAAATATTTAGAGGTGAAAAGAGAATATACTTAGAATAATGTTCAATTTCTTTTGCTGTAAGTAAAATGGAAGATGCTGGTTAGTGATATGTATCATACGGCAATAAGCAACTTATTCAGTAAAGTATAGCCTCATCAGACTACATAATTATTGACAAGAATAATTTGAAGGTGTTGAACTGCATATTCTTCCTTCACCCCTCATCACCAAGGAGACAGCATTATGTGGTTCCTAATTCCATACATAGCTACTAGGATAAGAGGGATTTCATCACACCTTGTAAGAGAAGGATGCAGAAATATCCTACAGTTGTAACAGGATGCACAAAATGAAATTTATTAATAGAACCAGTTATGCTACAGATTCTTATGAAGAATGGATTATGCATTACAAATAATGTTCATAAAATAACATCACTTTGGAGTCATAGCTAAATTCAGAAGTATACTAGCACTCAGAATATGAATTATATGTAGCATCATAAAAACAAAAGAAAAATGAACACATTTCTGCATCAGAATAATTCTTTTGCTTACATACTGCACCACTGACCCCTGACAATGACTAAAATCTCACCCCCCATTATATCTGTTATCATTCACTGAGTAGGTTTTACTTACTTCAGTTCTGAACATGGCCACTCTGATAACACAGGGTCATCTTCCCCTATAGTTTAAAGGTATTTTCAAGTATTTCCATTTTATTTACAGCATTTTTGAGTGAAGAGGTGTAGCACTGAGACAATATCTATGATTCTTAACTTTGTACATCACACTTCTTTACCTTGTTCAACAGCTTGTACGATTCTTACAATTCATGAACAATTTGTACATCTTGTACTAGTTACAAAATATACAGTAGAACTAGAAAATGCCTATTCCATCATCCTTAATTATTTGCCATACTGTAAAGTATATTTCAGCACTTCTTCATTATTAACCATGTCCCTGTAGATTAGGAAAAAGTCAAGTGATATCTTATTGAACTGACTAGCATTCTAAAGGTTTCAAATCTACTTCTTCAGTATTTCAACAGCAAAACTGTTGTTAGAAATTTCCAAAACCTCCCTTTTTTTTTTACTTCTGTTTTGCTCCTTTCTAGCTGCTACAAAATACAAAAAAAAAAAATATCCATGCATTCTTTAAACAAATTATTATGCCATAATCAGGAATTTGATAATGTAATTACAATAAATTCAATCATAGGGCAAACAAAAGTCAACTTTACTGAAATATATTTTAATTAGTCTAAACTTTGGATAAGTAAGAGAAAAACTCAATGACATGATGCCTGGCAAAGGTACATGGTCCTGTATTGTTTTAGCTTTGCTACATCAAATTTAGGTTACTCTTGGATGGGGTACTTTAGCGGTAAACATACTAAGACTACAATGTGTTTATACTACTACTTTTAGACATTTTAACAAATTAGAAACAATAATGACCACCTTTTGGATGGTCAGTATTGGAGGGAAATGTTGTGGTGAAATATTAAAACGACCATATCAGTATCCATAACAGACAAATCAATGATTCAGCTCAGTACTATTAAGACTAATGAAAGTCTACTGCACCTCTTATTATCACTATTCAAAAACTCTCCTATATGTCATAAACCTCTATATCACACACACAAAGTTTACAGTAATAAGATTTATACTACAATTTCAGTCATAAGAACCATTCAAACTTTATAAAAATACAAATCCATATGAAGGATATGTTTGAATCAAGACCCAACATGTAAGGTCCAATGCCACAGTTTTCAGACAAGGTACTATAAAAGTGTGATCATACTCGGACAGCCAAAGGTGGCTAAACAAGAAGAGAAGGTGTGGGTTTCTTTCCCGGCCAGGCTTCCTTGGCATACTTCTTCTTCTTGGGCTCGTCGGGATCAACAGCCACCTGGAGATGTGCGGGCACCTCTGGGGCGACTGGCTCTGGAGGGGCCAGTTCAACCTAGAAGATAAAACAATAATTAGCATGTACTAAACCTGGCAAGCATTTTCCTTTTATTCATTTATTTTTTATTTTTTGGGGCATTACGTTCTGTAGCTAATGAAGTTCTTACAAAAATCTCTCTGTCTACTTATTCTTCATAATTAGATTGAATTTTTATCAACAGATGAATGTTCTGGTAAATCAGAATTCACCTTCATGTAAAGCATTTAGATTAGAATTTTCAAAACTAATACACTGACAACTTAAAAAAATCTTTGAGGTGTTCAGAAAACAAAATAATCAAAACAATAAAGAAAAAAAGAAAAGAAAATACCACCTAAGAGCCTCACCATATCAACACTGACCTCTGGAGCTGGGTTTGGAAGAGGCAAACCAAGCTTGGAAGACAGTAGAGAGGAGAACATGGAGTGATGCGATCCCCCGTGCCCGTGCTGCTCTGGAGGAAGGTCTCCGTACAGATTATCATTTCGCTGAAATTGCATCATACCTCTACTTAACCCTTCATCACGTCCACTGCTGCTTGAAACAAGACCGCCGATGTCCAGTCTTCTTTTCTGTAAATTGAGAGAGAATTTGGTGTTTCCATGGGAAACAATCATAAACAAAAGTTTATGGTTAAAAAAATTTTCACAAGCCTTTGCTTACGATGAGTCAATATCATGCTATACCTGATCCTCTGTGAATATCACATTGATATGTAAGTGTTCCAAAGATTCTAGGATGAGAAATATGTGAAATATTTATATATATATTAAAAAAAAGTTTAAGACTTACTTTTGAAGGCACCACTGTTGTCTGGACCAGATTTCTAAACCTTCCAACACTTGGATCAACATCTTCGGGGTTTATCACATCCTCTTCATCTTTAAAACTGACATTAAATTTGTGCCGTTTACGACCTCTCTGTTTAGGTTCGTCCTCCCCAATGCCCAACATTGATATACGTCTATTATGCGCAGTATTAAATTCTGTGAGATTCTGAAAGAAAATAAGTATGTCCATGATTTTATTCTATTTCATTTGCAGGTTCCCCTATAAAAAAGCATATCAATTATCAAAAATGGAAATGACAGTGAAAGCAATCAATCACCATTAATGCTTGTTCCATTTTATGTTTTGTAGGTATATGTGTATCTTTAATCTAAACACATAGAAACTGGGAAGATTTTGTAGGTACCTGCAAACTTTGTTTGTTTCATGGCTTTTTTTTGCCTTTGTTACTGTCTTTTTAATGCAGGCATTTGGTTTTCTAATACTATACTCTCAGCCAATGGTAGCATATGATATCAGAAAATTCTTAGATGATTTTGGCTAACAGCTAGACTATATGCTCTACTACCTTTACCATTCCACCATCCATTTTGTCTCTACACCACGCATACTCAACTCAATAATAAATACATTTGCTCTCATGTGATCAAAACCTTATTATGTTGGCACTCTTTGTCTAAACCTCATTACTATTTTTATCATCCACAAATGACTCAACAGTGACTGGCAGAGACTTTCATAATAATGTGACCATTAACCTTTTGGATCCAGATGCTTTACTACCATCATGAGGCCCAAATATAGGCATTAGGCTTACTTGAAGCAGATACTCTGCCAGGTGTGCAGCTTGCACACCGGGCACAAGCGAACACTCATGTGTGGTGACAAGACTCCATGTCTCCCATTTGCAATGCTATTTTGTCTTTTTGGCATAAGCATATTTAGCGCTCTTTTGCCATTTTCCAATGTATATATTTGTCTTTTGATTTTCTTTATATAAATGGTAATTGACTGTTTTTCTTGCACAGATTCCATATCATCTATTTAGGTACTCTATAACTCAGTGCAATATTAATAACAATAAGTAACATCTATTTTTTTCACAATATTCAATTTTCTGTTATACAATCTGCACCACAAGTCATGGTAGGCAGGGATAGGATCCTGAGCATGGAAACAGTTTCCTCTCTGGAGCTAGCACTCTTCCAGTCATGGCTCATGGACATTAAATTCCACACTTGTTTATTGATGGTGATAATGCAAAAGCCCCTTCCTTGAGGCCAAATAAGCGTAATCAACCTCCAAGAGATCTGCACTCAAGGCAAATTACTTGTTCTCTGGCCTTCAGCTGAAATGCTCACAATGGCAAGTTTGCTTCACCCTGCCCACAGCCAAATTTTTCCATTACAGCACTTTCACATTACCCGCCCGTCCAGCCATCTTTCTCACGATGTGATGGTTTCGTCATCCAGATCATAGGGGTTAAGTGTAATCTTCATTACTGAGAAAACTTGCTCAAAACCTTGTTATAATAATACATGCTAAAGAGAATGCCTTCTATACTCCCACCACTAACATTCCAACTAGCGGGTGCATCTAGTGACACATTGGGTGTGGGTTGACAAAAATGAGGTTAAAGGGCCATAACCAAGAGGAGCAAAAACGGCAAATAAATGCAAACTGCTTTACTCACATCCAATTCCGTTTCCGTTTCTGGCAGACCCAGTAAACCGCCATCACTGTCTTCAGTCATTCTCTCTAGTTCTTCCATTACTGGCTTTGGTGCTGTCTGTGGTCTCTCACGCAGAGTGTACATTCTGGTTGAGGCTCCAAAATGGAAGGTGGAGTTTACTGGAAGCTGCGTTGGCTTGTTTCCCTCCAATCGGATATTTCCTATGTATGTTCCATGAGCTAGAAACAAATGAAAAGGTTTAAATGTTTTTCAGTCTGTAAAATACAAAAAGTTTAATAATATTAGCAAAAAAGCAAAAAACAGAAATCCCCTTTAATACTGAACAAGAGAAGGTGAGAAAGAAATTATTCCTTTTTATATTATACTGCTAAAAGATAATAAGAGCTTGGGCATTAAAGCCTGCTAGTAGAGTATCTATTCTAGTAAAAATTCTTGGTTATCTTGTGAGTATTTGAAGCTATTTCTGTGTTTCGCTCCTTTGTTAGCTCTTCCAGTTCTAAACAGTAGTGCTGCAGTTTGCTTGGGTGTGTTGGCTAGAGTAGTTTACGGGAGAGCTGGAGCTTAGTAGAATTCAGAGCTTGACCTTGCTTCCTGGCTTTTGGTGCGGATTATCCAACATCTCCAGGTCCCAACTGTTTGTAGGCCAAAAATATAACACAAATTTGAGAACTAGGAACTCCTGCACGAACAGTCTAATCTGTGAGCTGTGAGATGTTCATCCAGATTTAGCATCGCATTGCAAGGCGTGGTTACTGCCAAATAATCAGGACATGGCTGTTGGACCTGGCATTGTCCAACATGACTAGTATCCAACGTATGTAGTTCGAGGCAAGACCTGCTTTAATGCTCCTCCCTAGTAAATGAGCCAAGGGAGTGAATGATTTGGTGTGTGTTCATATAAGTCCTGATGTCACCAGGAGTGTGGGGCCTAACTGACTGACTGAAGATCTGGATTCTCATGGGAACCAGCTGGCTTGACAGTAGGTGGACGTCAGTGATAAACATGGCTTGTGGGCTACTGGGTGTGGTGTTAAAAATCTCCAGACCTGACTGTTAAACCAACAGCAAGAGATTTTCCCTGCACCATACCATACCATCCACTGGGGACCACACAGAGTCAGCCACTTCCATGAAAAATCAGATGCTGGGGAAACATATATTTACTCTGCTCTAGATGGTTGTTGCTGCATCTACCACATTTACTAAGACTAAAAAGAGGTTTCAAGTTGAGAGAGAGAGAGAGAGAGAGAGAGAGAGAGAGAGAGAGAGAGAGAGAGAGAGAGAGAGAGAGAGAGAGAGAGAGAGAGAGAGAGAGAGAGAGAGAGAGAGAGAGAGAGAGAGAGAGAGAGAGAGAGAGAGAGAGAGAGAGAGAGAGAGAGAGAGAGAGAGAGAGAGATACTACTACTACTACTACTACTACTACTACTACTACTACTACTACTACTACTACTACTACTACTACTACTACTACTACTACTACTACTACTACAACTACTACAACTACTACAACTACTACAACTACTACAACTACTACAACTACTACAACTACTACAACTACTACAACTACTACACCTACTACTAATAATAACAATAATAAAAGCAATAACTTAAAAAGCTATCATAAACTTACTGCTTCCAAGGTCAACTAGGAAGGCCATGTTGAGGTGTTTATGATACACGAGGGAACAGTGAACCCTCGAGCAGGATGCATGATCAATGCAAAAGTCATTTAGTTGAGGATTTCGACCAAAGAGATAACACTTCTTCTCATCAATCATTAATTTCTGAAAAAGAGGATATTCTAAATGTACATACGCAGGGATACATGTATATGTATGTAAATCTATGTATATGTTCGTATGTAAATACAAACAGTGCATACACTTAACAGATCCCTGAATCTTTTCAATGTGGATGTACACTATATCAAACTTAAGATATATGTAAGTTGTCTCTGCCGTAAGCATTATCAAATTCATGGAACTACATATCAACATATTTTTCCGAGCAGAACATCACAGAAATCTAATATACGCGCTGACAGTCACGACTCCTCTAGTTACAAGTCAAAAGAATAGTTTATAGTTTCAGGATGACCTATGGAAACCAATAAAATATAGATCTTTACCTGAAAATTACTCTCACGTAACATTAACTTCCTTCAATAATCCTTTTATGTTTTTTTTCTAAATAAATCTCAACTTTGAAATAATTCTTCAAGTTCATTACAGTGTAAATATATCACATCTATAAAAAATAATGCAAACAAGTGAAAAAGGTAAGATTTACTATAGAATGTCCTTTAGTTAAATTAATTGTATTTAAGGCCTTTCCATTCTACTGATTCATATCGTCTGTGTTGCAATTTCAGAAAAGAATAATATAATATAATTAATAAACTTTTCAAGTCTGTATAAGAATATCCTCCTTTACGGACAAGTTAGTTAAACCTACAAAGATGACGTACCTATAATAATTTTGGAGAGGTGAACATTTGTGAATATAATACCTCTAAAAATAACATGTATTTTATGGTAAAAGTACTTTATATCTAGAATACCAATGAAATCATGTTCGAACTCTTGCAGACGAGTCATGTAATATTACTTGGTATTCTATCTTCCAATTCCAACCCTAAATAATATCAATAAGAGATAAATAAATTTTTGGTTTTTCTTAAATATCATTGGCAATCTACATAAGGCAAGCTATATAAGTATTTATCTTTCTTAATATCTAATTACCATCCTAAATGTAAATAGTAATTCATACCATGCTGATGAAATACTCCTTCTTTTAGTATTCTTCAAACTGTCCAGCATACTATGAATCTACTGACACTGTCACATATTCCCATAAGGAAGCATAAAGATTTCTTTTTCTGAGTTCCTGTATGATGTCTATGTACTCAGTTCCAAGTACAATATTTGAGTCATCTTCATTTATTGTTTTCTCTCTTTATAATAATAATAATAATAATAATAATAATAATAATAATAATAATAATAATAATAATAATAATAATAATAATAACAATAATAACAATAATAATAATGATAATAAAAGACTATACTCTGACAAGTTTGATAAGATAACATACCTGTATAAGCTTGTCTCCTTTTGCAACATCTAAGTGCAAACCCACAGGCGGTTTTCCTGCCCTGAAATATGGCAAAGTAAATATAATATGTGAGAACTTTCAATACTTTCTTATGCCACGAGCTATGGTGGATTTTATAGGAATCATAAATCAAGACAGGGTGCATGGTGATGGATTTTAACTTCTGCCTTAGCTGGGTCGGGACATCACTCATGAGGCAACGTCACTCAGATCTGTCTGGGCTTTATCTATGTGTCATCAGTCTTTATATCTAAACCATTAACAATTGCATTCAGATGCAAGGTCTTTATAAGTACAGGTCTCCTCACTTCGGAGTTCTGCAGAGCTTTGGGTGATAAGACCTATGACGTCACTAGGCATAGACTGGGTGGGAAGGAGATAATAAAAAACGGTAGCAAATGAGCAAATACTTAAGTAATTTTAGATGCTGGCACGTTGAACAATTTGCATATTGGACAGATTTTACAGGCGATGTTTATCAGCAATTGTTTGTAGGTCTATATCACATATCTTACGTGAATTCAGTTTTGTAATTCTCATGCTGCAGCTTAGATATGGCATAATGAAGAATTAAAATAAACAAAGAAGACATGGCATATTTAAACCAAATGTTTTTGATGAACTTATTATAAAACAAATAATATAACCAATGCACTACATAAAATCAGAGACAAGTACAGTTTATATACATATATATATATATATAGATATATATATATATCATATATTATATATATATATATATCAATGATGATGGGCGATCCAAATTTTGCAACCAATTACTGAATAACTACTGGGCATTGAGGCTTTATTAATGTGGCCAAGAATGACCACATTAGAAACCCCCAGGCTTTTACTCCAAGTGACATCATATGCGAGACGGACGAATTTGAGTCGCTTCGTGACGAGACCTATACTTATATAGACCTTGTTCAGATGATGGGATAGTCATATCAAGCAAAAATTTGTTTAAAGGTTAGGTGATAGGAATATACCATTATAGAAAAAAATTGGCTGAGGGCCGAGGTGATGGGAATGTGACTTCATTAAAAATTCCACTGAAAGCCGGGGTGATTGGAATGACACCATAAGGCCACTACCATCTTGATACAGCATATCAAATGACAAAAGTTAACTTTGAAGAGTGGTAGAAAAGCAAAAAATGCTTATGCAGAAAAAGAGACAACATTGCAAAGGGTAGGCAAGGAGTCTTGATATGACATGTGTTTGTGCTGGCTGAGCCTACATGCCCCACACCCGGGGGAAGTGCCACTCAAGTAAGCCCAATGTTGGAATTTTGGTTCACATGTGGGCCACAAGGCACCTACATCTAGTGGGTTAATTTACACGTCAACAGCTATGATTTGCATATAAAGTGTATAGTCTAAGTTCAGGGTATTTTTAACATTACCATAACTGTATAACAATATCTATCAAAGTCGTTTGGATGATCACAAACTGTAGATTCTCACTGTTTACAAATAATATCGCAGAATCTGATCTGAGAATGCTCTAGGTCTGGCCCACCTTGTTCCCTAAATGGCATGTTTTGGTACAGCATGTCCAGGCATGGCCAAAATGGGTATTCATTCCTGGCTCGAGTCTGGTCCCAGGGTAAATTACGACTATAGGAACGCCGGGTCAAGGATAGTAGAATTGTAGTGTTTGACTTTGCTAAGAAGTTTATAGTTACCCACCCAAAGTATGAATAGGTAAGCTTACACTTAGAAAATTATACATTTGTGTTTCTTGTGACTTTTCTTGAATTATATAAGACATCTGCCATGGAAATATCAAAACCACAAGCAGTATAACACATTCCATAAAATAAATAATCTTCATAAAGTCACAAGCTTATTTCCATCCTGTAAATAATGAATACACTAAAGATGATTATGGTTTCTAATAAACACATCTACCTAAATAATTCTGCATATATCTCATTTAATCAATCATTTCAAAAATCGACTAATTTTGGCTTGATTATAGGCCTAGCAATCTATCCAACCACATTTATTAGTCTTAGGCCTTAGCTTAATGTACGGCTTCCAAAGACAATAAAGGCCGATCCTTGCTATTTCTAAACTATTCAGACCTTCAATTAGTTTTAAAACTGAGAAAAGTCGTAATTTACTTCTTTAAACATTAAAATAAAGAAAGAAAACTATTTACCACTTCGGAATTTCGTAGTGGTTCGCCATCTTTGTTTACAGAGACTACGGGTGTAAAATAGTTTCTTGGGACGCTTACTGGGTTAAAATTAGACTCATTTATCAACAAGATACAAACGTGCCAGACTTATTGAAAGTATACTAAAAGACACTGTGAAATAGTAAGAGAAATACAAAACCACCAATAAAGGTATGTTATCTTTTTATATATATTTTAGTTTTAGAAAACCTATGCAAAACTTCTCCCCCCCCCCTGTCTGTCTGTCTGTCTGTCTGTCTGTCTGTCTCTCTCTCTCTATCTCTCTCTCTCTCTCTCTCTCTCTCTCTCTCTCTCTCTCTCTCTCTCTCTCTCTCTCTCTCTCTCTCTCCACTGCAAGCGTTTAATTTTTACCATCTCTTTTTAAAAAAAAAAGTAATTTTCAGTCAAGTTTACAGTTGATCAACTCCAGATATCACCAGCCAATGAAATGAGTTTGAAACCAGATACTGCAAACAGCATTATCTGTTTTTAGTGCATGATATGATTCACTGTTCCTCCAGCAGTGGCCGCGACCCGCATCAACCAACGCAGTGGTGGGATACGTGGCAGATCATGTCGCAAGGTCTATTAGTATTGCTAATATTTTTTCTTGGCAAATTGTTCTTTGCTGAGGTGTTAAAGTGCAATCACTTTTGTCATTAAAACTGGAGATTCAGATTTATATGACAGCATTCTGACCGTAAGCTCAAAAAAGTATCTTATACATTTTTCAGAATTATAAACGAATAAATGATAAATTGTACATCCCTGGAAAGGAAGTGGCCATTAAAAATGCAGTCCAAGTTTCATCATTCATATTTTTCATGTCAATTTGTTTTATACCTGCATGCACAGACGGCTTCATTCACATCCTCGTCCAGTAGGGTGAGACCACACTCATCTACCCAGTGAAGCTTGATCTCTCAAAGCTGAGTTGGAGGTCTTGGTGCTCCGGCCAAGACCATCAAGAACTAAATCCACAGCCTCTACTGACGAAGGAAAAAGATGATGGCCCTGTCACCTTGCGATCAAAGAATACAAGGTGAGGTCAGATTCAAGGAGGAACACATAGACACGACAAGATGGGCATTGGTAAGTCTGACATGCTGATGTAGCTGTATTAGACTCCAACGAAGGACAGGAGGTGGAATATCAGGTTCTTAGGGTATTCCCAAGATCTCTCTGTGTGTAAAGCCAGATAGAAAACACGTTACTGCAAGGTATTCCCAAGATCTAGAGAAAACCTAGAGAAAACCGAAGCTCTACCGGCCTGGCATCAGCAACTTCGTCTCGTGTCAGAATGGAATGGGGAGAGAAGGCTCAAGAGTCAGTCACAGCCAGAAACGCCAGATATCACTCCCGCAGCAATTCCAGAGATCGCAAGTACCTTCACAGCAACGGCCGTACGACCTACCTCAAGCGAACAAACCTGACCTGTTGTAGCGGCTGTAACGCATGCTGGCCACCATGTTAGCCGGAGAGGATTTCATCGGTAAAATACGAGTTCATACATCGTTTTCCACAACGGTGTATCTACACCAACTATTTTACATTACTACAATTGCCTTTTCATGTATCAGCTTCTGGTATGAATCAGCGCTAACTGGTGAACTCGTCTTCCAGTAAACACACACCTTCGTGGGCGAGAGTTCAGTCCATTATTGCCATCTTCTTTCCTCGGTCATGGGCCAATCCTCCCAGACCCGCAGCCAAAGTAAACACGACAGACACCCAGTCAGAGCGTGTCCGTCCACAAACCTGAGTCTCAGGCTGTTCCTCCAGGCCAGCAGCCATATCAGGGAAACCTTTAGCATCCACCTATACAAATAGCTTCACCGAGATGGGAGCGCAAGCTGGATACTCCAAATCAGCTGTTCCCACGATTACTGAGCAAGAGCGGTGGTCCAGAACCTTGGTCGGAAAGAGAGGAAGAGTCTTGATCCCTAAGGCAATTGACACAGTTGAGAGTTCTTTAAAAAACTGAAAGCTTTGTCGGTGCCTACAAGTTGGTCAGAACCATAGGAATGCAAAGGCAAATCCGGTTGTCAGGCCTGGTTGCCAAAGATTATTGACCCTAAAGATCAAGCTTAATGATTGGGGAAAATAATCGTTCAGTACTGCTCCCGGAGACAGGAAAGATGAGGTAATCATAACAAACCCCAGGCTGTAAGGCCTTCCCGCTTGACAAAAAGGAAGACCTTAAAAAGGCAAATAATATTGACTCTGAAGGGAACCCCAATCACCTTCCTCTTGGAAATTAGAGCTCCAACAGCCTCGGACGCACTGTATGTGGTTGAGCGAGCGACTTCGATGATTTGCGTGCCAGTAATACAGCCCAAATGTGTTATCTGTAGCAAGGCTCACAGCAGTGTGTCTCAAGGCATATAAGGAGGGCAAAAGGAGCAAAGCAGACAAGTGTCCCAACTGTGCCAAGAGGCACCATTCCCGGAGCCTGGCCTACTACGTCAGGAAGGAGACGGCCCTCAGGTGACAGGAGGTTGTTGAAAATGGACCAGCTTTTGTTTCAACCCCCAGACAACCATGTCTGAGAACAATAAAAGAGAAAGGCCTCTGTTGAAAATGGACCAGACCAGAAATCTAACGTAGAATATCATTTAGAAGCAGGCGATAGATGTTACAGCATTTTAGAATTAGAAACAAATAGGAAAATAGATGATCCACTTTACTACAATTATATCTAATATACCCAAGAAATGATGATAAAAGAGTCATGTACCCAAATTGAAAATTGTGGTTGAAATGAACAAGGAGACGAAAGTATAAAATAAAAGACATCTAGGACAATGGTTCTCACACTTTTTGATTCCAATGCCCACTTTTGCGCGCCCAAATACTCGTGACCCACTGTCCTTCAGAACTGTGAGATGATAATCAAATTGCAATAAAGTATACTATCTCTCTCTCTCTTCTCTCTTCTCTCTCACTCTCTTTCTCTCTCCGTCTCTGTCTGTTTGTCTCTCCTCTCTCTCTCTCTCTCTCTCTCTCTCTCTCTCTCTCTCTCTCTCTCTCTCTCTCTCTCTCTCTCTCTCTCTCTCTCTCTCTCTCTCTCTCTCTCTCTCTCTCTCTCTCTCTCTCTCTCTGGCTGATCTTATATATTAAGTACTTTTTTATTTGTTTATTTTTTCGTATTTTTCTTTATTTCTCTTCATCAAGGCGTCCGCAGCTCTCTTCCCATTTATCTAGGATAAGCAAGTGAGCGAAGTGTATATCATCGAAGTGACAAATGTGATTGAATTCTTTGCGTAAAAAAAGTCTTTTTCATTAACTTAATGGTATCACATCGTATATTATCTTTGGAAAAAATGTATAGCTTTTATATTACTTCTTGAATTTCTAACAAGAAGCATAATCCCAAAGACATAAACGTTATTTGCTTTTTACACGTTTGAAGGAAAGACACGAATAAGGAATGTGGCAATACTGAATGTGTCTGTTATTCTAATATTTATTACTCCCGTAATCCTTAAAAAAAATCTCGGTGAAACTACGAAAGGGAATTTAATATCTTTTTGGGCGATAGTGTTTTATTTATAGTGGTGGTTATGGTACCCGATTTAGATCAGTGGTATATGACATGGAATCGCGTGTCGTTTGATATGTAATCATAGAGAGAGAAATAAAAATGTCTGTTTTATTCATACCTGTGAGATAATTCTCTTATCTCCTTAGCATACGCCTTGAAGCTGTTTAAAAATACAGAGATAACCGTAGCATTATTGACTAAAGAGATTCGTGTTTATCATAAAAGCCTTTGTGGTCTGGAAAAAAATTATGTTAATTCATAAAAGAAATCTAGATTATGGAGTGCTGGTTACTAGTCTGCAGAACATCTACATCTGCAAACACCTTTTTGTTATCCAAGAGTGAATTATTTTTTTTTGTGCTGGTTCCACTCTGAATATCTATATTGCAAAGTATACAGTGAAGGCCTGAGGAACGCTAAAAAATAGATAATTCAATTTCCAATTATAGGCAATTTCTTTCCTATGCCTGTCGATATCAATAAGCGCCTTTGATCAATATCCTTTTCAGAAAACAAAGAGAGAGTCACCACGCAAAATCGGAATGAGAAAATGCAAATAAGAACAAAAATCGGAAAAAATCTCACAAAATCGGAAGGAAAAGAAAAAAGAAAAAAAATTAAAACAAATCTCACAAAAACAATAAAAAAACACTTAAAACAGAAATCGCAGCAAATCTCCCACACCGGAAAAACAAACAGACAAGAAACCCAGAAGAAAGAGAATGAAAAGAAAGAAAATAAGAGGCCGAGGTCTTTCAAAGTGTTCGAGGTCGAAAGTACTTTGGCGAAACTGAAGCTGGAGGTCGTCCTTGGGTGACAGTCACTCGCTCGCCGGTAGTTGGGGAGTCCGTGGCGTCGGCGAAGAAGAACAGGCGACGGCGGGTGACGGCGTCGTTGGGGGCGGGGTTCTGGAGACATTGGCTTCTTCAGAACAGGGTGTTTAGTCTGGAATTATATTTGTATATATATACATATATGTATACACATAGACAACACACACAACACACACACACACAATATATATGTATATATATATATATATATATATATATTATATATATATATATATATACATATATATCATATATTATATATATTATATATATATATATATATATATTATATACATTTATGTGTGTGTATGTATATATACATACACAATATACACATATGTCTACACACACACACACACACACATACACACATATATATATATATATATATATATATATATATATATATATATAATATATGCATCTATATATTGCATTTATATATATAAATATATGTATATATACACACATATATACATATATGTGTATGTGAATATATATATATATATATATATATATATATATATGCAAATATATATGTATATGTATATACATAAACAAACAAACACCCGTATGTAAGTATGTATACATATTTTAACACACTGCCACACGTATACGCACATGTAAATAAATAAATGAATAAATATATGCGTGTTTTGTGTATATGTATTTATATATATATA